TCACTAAACCCTCCCACACACACACACACACAATATTATTTATATATCTGAAAAATGCTTATCTTTGATTTACACGAATGGCGAATTTTTTTTTCCCTCATGGAAAATAGATAACATTTTTTTTTGTACAAAAAAACTCAAAATCTCTCTAAAAAAAAAATAAAAGCAGAATTTTTATTTAATCGAACTTTTAATTAAACAAAATTTTTTTTGTATAAAAAAACAAATAAAAGTAAAATTAAATAAAAAAAAATTCAAATTTTTTTTTTCAATATTTTTTACAAATCTAAAAAAAAGAATGTTTAAATGAAAATAAAATAATTATTCTATCTATATTATTGTGAAGAGTGCATATAGTTTCTTCTTACCAAACTATAGATATATATGTGTTTGTATGGCAAAATGATTAAATAATAATCAACAGTATTTGAGAGTGTTGAATATCGATGAATCTTTGAATCAAATTTTGTCACATGATATCATAAATGTTTAATAAAATTTTGATTTAAAATTTTTCTTATTTTCACAAACAAAATTAAATTGTAAAACGTTAATGTATCAAATTCGTTGTATCGAGTGTCTTGCGAGAGCTATGTTGAAAATATCACAATAGAAAAAATTATAAAACAAGAAAAAAGAACTATTTTACTTCCTTTTTTTTACTTTAATTGTAATCTTTTGTTGCAAAATTAATTCTAGACTATATTTTCTATGCTTATTTTATTTATTTTTTATTTATTTATTATTTATTTATTTTTTTCCCTTACTCGACGTTACTGAATTTCTGCCACTCATTAGAATCGAATTATCAAATTTTTATCGAATTCCATTCAATATATACGTTTTTATTAACAAAAAAAGAGACGAGGTGGAAGAATTTTCTAACCTCAAAACAATAATAATGATAATAATAATTGTAATTATTATTTCCATTATTATTGTTTTTATAACGTGAAAGGTCGATGTGTTTGAGGTTATAGACGGCAAACATTAGCTGAAAATTCACGATTGATGTTTAAAAGGTGAACATAACCTCAAAATTCATATAAATATAATAGTCATTTATAGGTGAAAAAAACCACTCGATTTTAATTTATGTCAGGTCAGCTTAAATTTAACGTGAGACCAAAAAATTATATATGTCGAAAAGTTCAAGTTAAGAGGCGAATATAACCTCGGAAAGTTCGACCTTAAAATTTAAGAACAAGAAAATAACCTCAAAATCACGTTCAAGGAGGAGAATATAACCTTAAAAATAAATAGGCAGATCAAAGGGACGAAAATAAATTAAAAATTTTCAGAAAAGTTAAGGCTCAATAATTTGATTCAAAATAATAGTTTTTGTTTAATTCAAAATTATTTAATAGGGGAAAATATTATTAAAATTCGGTTAATCAAACAAATAGGAGAAGTAATATATATATATATATATATATATAATTTGATTTACTGTTTTTATAATTTACTGAGCGACATATTTTTCAGGTTATGAAGTATAAACACAAAACGTATATAGATATACATAATACGGATAGGGAGGGTTATAACTGAATTCTATGCAATTACGAATCTCCCTCACTACAATACAAACAATTGTCGATTCCTGTATACATATAAATCAATTTCAGATTTAAAATCGACTATACATGAAGATAAAAAAAATTAATATAGCGTTACCGTTACCGTTACAAAAAGTATCGAATTATGAATAATATAATAATAATAATAATAATAATTATAATAATATAATAATATGTTATATATGTATATATTATAACATAATTGACTATTTTTATATTTTTATTTATTATTATTAAAATTTATTAAGTCTTAATAAAATGGAAAATAATAATTATTATGATATGAATTATAATAGAAAAATGTTATCTACACTTTGAGGTTAATTTTGAATTATTTTAATTTGATAAGGGAATAATTTATTGTAGCGCCAGAATATTTTATATAAAAAATATACAAAAAGTTAATTATTTAATTATTTTAAATATTTACCAGACTAGTTCAGAAAATGATAGGAAAACTTCCTAACAACTCGCGGAGAGGGGGAGGTAAGGAGAAAAACACATTAATTATTTCACTGAATTTAATTTCACTGTAATATTTATTTAAATTCCACTATTCAATTTTATTATTAATTTATTACTTTCTTTTTTTTTAAAATAACAGGTGAAAAGTTTACTTAATGTATTCGGCCTATGGCCGAACTTACAACAAGATTATTCCGCTTGCCATGCGGTGAGCAAACATCACTTTTAATATTTTCAAAACTTTATTTTTTATTTTATGCCAATCTGGCGAGAAATGGAATTTATTAATCACTGGGACTCACCGTTAATGCGTCGCCGTCCACGCATTGCAACTCGTCCTGACATGGTCGATTTAATATAACCACAATTATTTTTTACTAAATTGGCGTGCTGCCTGATACCACCATCAAAACGAGAATAGTATCATTTTAAATGGCTGACCTTTGACTCTAATCGGCGTCACCTTTCACGCTTTCCTTTTTGATGGTGAGTCCCAGTGAAAGTAATTAATAACTTTCTATTTGTCGATAATCAATATATCACGCGTCGATAAATTTCATCGATGTCGCTGGTAAGGTAGATCGCAACTCTACCAGAGAGCGTAGTGGTGTCCTCTATTCAAAATGGCTGCCCCCCATTATTGTGACAGGATCAAAACAATCAATATTTTTTCGAATTCCTGGTGCTCTTGAATATTCAGGAATCTCATCCAAATATGTGCACCAGGAAGTACTTCCCCTGCTGACTTCGTAACAGATGAGCGACCATGGATTTGGATATTGTCGACAATTTCTCGTGATAACATGAAATCATTTTTGGAACGCGAGTATACAAATTTTATTTATTAAAATAATACGAGAGTGATTCGACGAGTTGGCAGGTTTAATCTATTATTTTACTTTAATTTTATTCTTACATTTAAATAATTACTTATTTTGTCTAATTTATTATTTTATTTATTTTAGGAAAAAGGAAGATTACCATTTTGATGGGGTGATAAAAAAAATAACAATAAATTATTGTGTATGGCAAAATGCCACGTCACTATATATATATAGGAAAGTAATGTATATGATCCAAAAAAAGATTTTTTGTTTCAAAAAAAATCTTCTTTGAATTAAAGAAATTTATCCATTGTTTGACAAAAGATATATTATTATTACACACATTGAAGTTTAATAGAAACGAAAAATTGTTTAAATTTTTTTTTTGTTTATTATAGGAAACGACCAAGAGTGTGACTCAATTGTTTGAGAAAACAGTATGTTTGACTACATATGAATATAATCTGACTTTGTGCATAATGGAGCTTTAAGAAGAAGAAAAAAAAGAATTCATTGTGACGGACATTCCAGTTCAGTCATAAATAATGAGACAGATAATAGAGATCAAAAAAAAAATTTTTTTTTTGCGTCAAGCCTCTCTATTGCATTATTATCACAATAACCTTATTGCATAAATCGCTCCGAATAATAATATGTTGCTATATGTATAACAAAGTAACACACGGCAAAATGACGGATGTGTCACGTGAACCCGTTTTCATGATCCGGTCAAGTAGTGTGACTCAGAGGTTAAAGTTCCCGAATTGTGCAGATTATCGAGAGAGAGAAAGGGGGATTGATATACATTTTGTCTACATTTTTATTTCAATTGAGATAAAAAATTTATTGTTCTAATTACACAATATACTAAACTTGTACAATGTTATGTTAACCTTTCTCGTTGTATGATTGATACTATTTATATTGCGGCTTGCATATATTAAAATTATCAATATTTTATATAAATTTTGAGGTTATGTTCGTTTCATGGTCAGGGGAATTTAAAGTTATGTTGAACCCAAGGGGCCCATGCCCTATTTACTTAAATTTTGAGGTTATGTTTGAACTAAGGCCTTGAATCCTGGAAAACTATGCCCTAAAATTTTGAGGTTATGTTTGATCTCTGACCTTAAATCCTAGAAACTTATGCCCCTGAATTTTAAGGTTATGTTTAATCCAAATCGTAGAGACCTAGGACCTTGAATATTGAGGTTATGTTTGTTTTAATACTAATATATAAGTAGATATATGGGTACACAAAGAAAACAGGTTAATAAAAACAAAGTAAAAAATGATAGGGAGTTTGGTATAATTCTTTGACAGCATGGGAAAAATACTTGAATTCTATGCAAAGAGGAAATTTTTTATATAAAAAGAGTAAGAAATTATATATGGAAATTAAAAATAACTATGCTTACATAGTAGAAACTCTAACTTTGAACTTGACGTTGATATTACAATTTGCGTTACACTTGAAGAAATTTAAAATGTATGATGTAATTTTTTGCTTTTTAAATTTAACAATTTTAATTATAATAATTATTTATAATGTTTAATTATACAAACTTTCGTATAAAATGCGATTTAGAAACAATAAAATATTATAGAAAATAAAGCAAAACAGTCCCAAATAAAGAGGAAAAAGTCAAATCCATAATGCTACAAAATGCATGTAGACAATTATTTCCAGAGTAAGTAAATTAAGATTTGCAATGCATACTGCTTGAGAAAGTGCTTTGCAGCATGGGAATATTTGCTCGTCAGGTAGACGCTTATCTCCCATGTTTTTGAAGTAAGTTTCCCTCGATAGATCTATCAAAAAATGTCTTTATATTATGTACTTTGTGTGAAATCAAAACATAGTAAAAATAATTTTTCTCTTAGCAATTTTCACAATTTTGAAAAGGATTAAATGTACTTCCGACAATATATTTCACATGTTGTATAAAGCAGTAAATATTTTAACCTATCTGAGTATTTTTACAAAAAGAATATATAAATATATACTTATTCTGAACTTATTTTTACCCTAAAATTTATTGAAAAATCATTATGAAATAGGAAAAATTCAATATATTTAAATACAAACGTTTTGTGCATCGTGTAACGACGCAGGCTCCATGATGTACGTGTCAACTAGTTGTAATCGACATCTCAAGACGACAGCATCCATGTATATAGTGATATAGTTTTTGTGAAGTGAGAAATATTTATTATAATCTTCCTTCCAGTGAATTAATTTCAAGGTAAGAGAATATAATTTCAATATAATTCCAAACAATTTTATTTTAATATTTTCGAGAAATCTCGATAGCGTCGCTTTGCTTAATTCTCCCTGTGCCAATAGAAGCGTCTTAACCATTGATGCAGGGTCGGCTTTAGGCGAAATAGTAAAATTCAAAGCCTTAAAGCTTGCCTTGTTGACCGTTTCTCTTTTCCGCCCTTATCTAACTCAAATGCTTCTATAAATCAACGTAAACTTTAGAAAAGGACGAAATTATTTTATAATAATTTTAATATTTATGCAAGGTATTTACTTAAATACTTTGTAAATAAAATCAGAAAAAATTAGTGAAAATTAAAGAATTTTCAATATGGAAGTAAAATTATTTTTTTGTCAAGAATATGTATTGAAATTTAAATAATTTACTGTCACTGGTATGTATAAGGCAGTCCAACTTGTGACGTAGAGCGAGACGTCACTTTTCAAAATAGTGGCTGGTCTGAAGACACGCAATGAAAATTAATTAATAAATAATTTTGAAAAATTAATCTTTGAACCCAAGTGTAATTGTAAAATATTTTTTATTTATCGAAATCTATTTTTTAAAATAATAAAAATTAATTTTTTGATTGGTTAGAGATTTACATTGAACCGTAGAGTACGGTAAAAGAAAATTGAAAATTAACGCATGAAGCAAGAAGGAAAAATTTAATAGAAAACGAAACAGAGATTTACAATTATTTCAAAAAATATAGATGTCTTGGTTTAAATGCTGGTCCAGATTTGGTAAATATGTGTTTGTTTCTTATATCTTATTAACCCATTTTTGGTAACATAGGTTTTATTAATAGATACTAATACTTAATTTCTTTATAAACAGATAAACATTGATTTCAACTGTATTTTTCCAAATAACCACATTTGAAAAGATATTCGCCAGGAAATTGCACTTTTGCTAAGAAGCAAATTAAAAAGTAATGAAGACAAAGAGTCAATTTACAATATTGAAAAATTGTCAGAAGGTACATTTTCTAAAATACAAAATAAATAAATTAGTTCCCTATGCTTATAATATTGCTTTTTTTATCAGAATTTTGTTTCATTTTACAGAGCAACAAGATGCAGTGGTTCTTTATTTACTGCCGAAACTTATAAGACCATCATTTTTGAAATACGGAGATGAGCCAAGGGCAAAAAAATCAGATAAGGACAGCGATTCATCTGAAAATACTTCAAAATCTACGTGCAATGAAATACAAGAATCGTTCATTTTGCTTGTCCCAGTGAGATTTCATAACAATAATAAAATTCTTTTAACATCTCTTGCAGCAAATAATTAATAAATATAATGAATTTATATTTCAATTATTACTCTATTTTGAAGTTAAATTTAACTACACTGAAATTTCAATATCAAAATAAATAAATTTTAACAGTTAAGGTGATTAAGAAACATAATTTTTTTTACAGACTACATCTAAAGTGCAAAATAAATTAAAAGAAATAAGAAAAATTCTTAGTGCTACAAAGACACCACTGCAACCGCTTTTGGTTTTCGTAGGAAAAATTAGAAATCTTGAAGCAGTTTACGTTATTGTAAACGACATTCGATTTCAATTAGAATCACCACTTGAGGCATTGGATATTGCTTTTAAATTATTTTACGCTGTTGATATTAAATATCCAAAAGCAGCGTTTTCTGTTTGGATGTGTATCCAATATCTGGGATATGACATCACAAACACCACAGACCGCTTTGAAACTCAATTGCGATCATTAATTAATACAATCACTAAAGGTATTTTAAATAAACAACCTAAATATTAATTTACGTGTTATTTTTTATTATTTATTTCTAATATTTTTTAATCTTTGAATTTTTTTATGCCTTTAATTCTGATGAATCTGATAATCATAGTGATATAAAAGTTTTGATTCAGCAGAGATTAGTACGTTTAATACTTTCACTCGGAAATATAATGAAGAAGATGGAACTGTTCTTGATGTATTATCTAATTGTTTAAAAATAGATGCTTCATTGTTTATTTGAAGTTCACGTCTTGAATCGATTAGAAGTATTGGGAGAAAATTCAGAATCACTAGTTAAAACAAAGTCAAATTTAAAAATCCTTTTCATGGTTTAAATTCAGAGTATTTAATTTTTCAACATTTTAAAACGCATGGGACTTACATTCCTTCCACTCATGAAAAATTAGGCGAAAGAGATGAATTTCAAGAAACAAATGGTGTTCAAATTTTGCGAAAAATTCCTGTATTTGCTTCTTTTATACCAATTCTTTTGGTTTTGACCAAATTTTTCGAACTGCCATTAATTTTATATTTTGACGATTACAAAACGAATAACCCTCTTGGAAGTCATGCCGGTATATCAAAATGTGGAGCTGTGTATGTTTCAATTCCTTCTGTGCCTCCTGAATTTCAATCAAAATTAGAAAACATATTTCTCTTTATGTTGTTTAATACAATAGATCGTAAAGTTTTCCAAAATAAAGTTGTCTTTCAAAAAATAATTGATGAACTTCATATTCTTGAAACTGTAGGTGTTACTTTTGAACATTTATCACGAAAATTAACCGTATTTTTTTCACTAGTTTTGATATTAGAAGATAACTTAGGAGTTCATTCCATTCTTGGATTTTCCGAATGTTTCTTAGCCAATTTCCCTTGTAGATTTCGTCTAATTCACAAAAATGACATTAATTCTGTATTTTCTGAAAAACACTGTGCTGTAAGAAATGTAGATAATTATGAAAATGGGTTAAAAGAAAAAAAATCTCTCTAAAAGTGGCATTAAGGAAAAGTCAATTTTTCACACAAATTCATTAAACTTTCATGTAACGCAAAACATTGCTGTGGATTGGATGCATGATATACTTGAAGGAATTGCTCAAAGAGATATTGCTAAAGTACTGAATTATTTTGTTTATAATCTTAAACTATTTTCAATAGATACTTTAAATCAAAGAATACTTGGTTTCCATTATGGTTCAGCTGAAAAAGATCAAAAACCTCCAGAGATAATGGAGCAACACTTAAAAAATGCACAATTATCAATGAGCGCTTCTGAATGTTTTACATTAATAATGAATCTTGGGATCATTTTAGGAGATACAGTACCACGAGATAATAGACATTGGCGGTTATTAATAATATTGAAAAAAATCGTTGACATAGTTTCTGCCAAAAGTCATCAAAAGGGTTTGCATCATTGTTTAGAGTTTTTAATAACAGAGTATTTAACACTCTTAAGACAACTGTACCCTAATAGTTTAACTCTAAAACACCATTTTCTCGTACACTATCCTCGAATAATGTTATTAATGGGACCGCTATGTAAAACCTCATCAATCCGTTTTGAAAGCAAACATATTAAGAAGGAAAAGTAACATCACATGCATCAAAAAGTCGAGTAAATGTTTGTCACACTATCGCAGTTAGACACCAACTGAAACTAAATCGTCGTTTTGTTTTTAATGCATCAACATATTCAAAGTATATTTGTGGCCCTCGTAAACCGTCTGGTGTAACTTCACTTCCTTATTATTGAGATTTTTTTTCGTGTTTGCCATTTACTTTAAATAATGTTGTGCATATTATCAAGTGGGTTAAATGCTTTGACAAATATGTGAAACCAGGCACATAAATAAAAATAAAAATCATTAACATAATTTAAAACTTATCTCTGACCCTTAGAAAACAAGTTTTTTGAAAAAATTTCCAAACTTCTCTAAATGAACAGCTACGATTTTTGGGTTAAGTTTTCTCGTTTCAGGAGGTGCTAAGGAACCACCAGGTAAAAATGATTTTTCTTGGCATCATAGGCAAACTTTTTTTTCTTTCCAAACACCTGTGTATTGTTAATTTTATGGTTCGAGGATGTGATGTATCAAATTATATTGCAAAAACATGGGTATGAATATTGTTAACTTTATAGTACCTGGTACTATTTAGATAGTACCCCGTATCATCTATTTCTCACCGTGTAAAAATGATTTCGTGGGTCGATAAAGATCGTAGCTAATATATTGAAAAAAATTGTTCTCAAAATGTATGCTACTCATTTTGAACTGCAACAAAAATGAGACTTGGTTTTTTATGTGAAAACATTGAAAATGCTAATAATAATAAAAAGACTTATAATTATTTATTATAATTTATAAGATGGAGGAGTGAGGAAGATGAGTGTATGTTGACAATAAAGGGAAATAACGCCCTTTAATCCATATGATGACAAAAAGGGAGAGAGAGAGAGAGAAAGAGAGTAAAGCTTAAAGCTCAATAATATAATTTATTCAGTAAGAAAGACCAAGTGCGATTACATTTCTATTAGGATATGGACGAGAGTATCGCCAGGGGGGCATTAGAAACTTGCTCCCATGGATCCTTAGAGACCCTCGTTTAGCACCGTTCATATAACCTTCGTCGAGGGCTTCCATTTCCTCGCCCTTTTTCAGTTCGTATATGTGGGGTTTATTGCAGCAGTGCAGGATTCATCTGTATATATATATATATATATAATATACCTAAATTGCACACTATCGAACGATGATTATAACTCAAACCGTCTTCCCCTCCCACTACCCACTTTGGATTTAATGGGAACACAAAGTGAAATTAGATTTTTATTATTTTCCATTACACTAATTTCTTTATTATCTTTATTATCAAATATATATTTTGTTGGTATTTAAGAAACTAAACTAGTCAATCAACAAATTTGGTTGAGTGTTTTTATTGGCATAACAAAAATGTTTGGTTAGCTCAACCAAATTTTTTTTGTTATGATCAACAAAAATATTGCTTGATCAAAGGTTTTTTAGACCAAACTATTTTGTTGTGTTAACCAAATTATTTTGTTATCGTAACTGAATTTTGGTTGGAATTTAAAAATGTCCAACCAAATAATTTTGTTGGCCTAACCAAATGTTTGGTTGAGATAACTCTACGACTTTGTTTCAGCCAACCAAAATTTGGTTACAAGAACCATAATTGCCTAACCAAATAACAATTTTGTTGCAAACACTAAATTTTTTTTCTCAGTGTATCAATTCTTAATATTGTCATCCAACATATTGGATCAGCCATTTAGAATTTTGAAAAATCTTTTTTTTTTGGTGCAGAGTAGGGCTGTAACTATAAATACGATAACAATATTATATGGCTATTGGCGATTCAAACAGCTACACTAGCGCCACAGTTGAACTAATTTAGGCGTGACTCGCTCTGTAGCACTCCATGTGTTTTAAATTATTTTTTTTTATTTAACGCTTAAAAATAATTTTACAAACGCAATAAAAATATCAGAATAATTAAATAATTTGAAATAAACTGTCAAAACAGAGACTGCTTTAGAGCGAGTCACGCCTAAATTAGTTCAACTGTGGCGCTAGTGTAGCTGTTTGAATCGCCAATAACGGAGTGTAACGGTTTATTTGGGTACGGTTGTAACAGGGTACAATTGAAATATAGTAATGATTATGGCAGGGTACAGTTGTAACAGGGTAGGCCGTAACAGAATACGATTATAACAGTGGTAGATTGAAACAGAGTAATTGTTGTAAAAGTTTACGGTTGTACCTATTTTTTTCGGGTACAATTGTAACAGGGTATGGTTTTAACGATTTCTTTAGGTACAATCGTAACAAGGTTGTTTTTACCTTTTAAATTTGTGTTTTTTTTTGTAATCTATATCCAATACTGAATAGTCAGAATGTTTTCTCTAAGAAAATACTAATAATAAGAATTGTGTAATATATACATATATATTTGTGTGTTGTAGTGAGAAGGTTATTTTTTTACTGACAATGAGCTGAGTAAGGTTGGCTGCACGAAGTGGAGTGCATGTGCTCTCGGGTCACGGATATCGGGATACCATATGGTGTCGCGTGCTGCGGTCGCCAGACCGTGGAACCATCTTCACTCTCTCGCCCCACCAGACGAAACGATAGAATGCCGACGCAAGAGAGAGAAAGAGAGAAAGAGAATTCTGGACTCGTTTCGTGTTAATTCGTTGCCTCAAGGAATTTCTTGGAGCTCATGGCGTTTAAAAAGAACCAAAAGCCATCATGGTTATACCTATATAACTTTACAAGAAATATACACATATATATTTGGACAATGGCCTCATAGATAATGGTAGTCACTCGATATAAATATGTATATATATATATATATTTTTTTTTTTTATTTTAATTTTTTTACTCTTCGCGTACGACTCGAATTATATGCCTTTTATTGGGTTCTCTATTGTGA